GCCCAAATGTACTGCTTTTTCTGCAGAGTAATAGTGAAATAGTAAATAGTACAGAATCATAACAGTGATGTAGACAGGAGAAGACGGAGCACTTCTACTTTCTGAAGTGGCCCTAGATCCAAAACTCTGTTGACTGGACTGAAGCAGGGGCTTTTTACACACTCACTTCACAGTTTGACAAATTGGAGGGCCAAAAACCTCTTTTAGGCAGAAGGCCAGTCCGGGTTTTGAAAAAACTTTCTGGGGCCACAGTCTAGACACATAGAGCACCGAAGCTGAAAGCGGCAGGGATGAGAGCAAAAGTTATAGAGCCAAACACACACATGCAATGCAATCAAACCCCAAACCCAACATGTGGTATTTCAAAACTCCTTTTGACTGTTACTAAACCTTAGAAGAGATGTTTCAACATTTCCGAATGGGACAAAGTCTTCACAGAAGCTGAGGAAACCACTCTCATTGGACAAAGGAGGTGAAGAAGGAAGAAAGGATATTTTGAGAACCTAAATCATGGGTCTTCAAACTACGGCCCGCGGGCTGCATCTGGCCCACCATGGCCATTTATCTAGCCTGCCTCAGAGGTTTTGGACTCGCTTGGAGAAAACGATCTCCGAGTGAGTCCAAAGGCTCTGAGCCGGTGTAGGCATACTCAGTGGGGAGATGGCTGCGATCGCAGTCATGCTTGTGCAGGGAAGACAGGTGAGATCGCGGTCGTGCTTTGGGGGAGGGAGATAGCCGTGATCTCACCTGCCTTCCCTGCACGAGCGCGATCACGTCCATCTCCCTCCCTGCCCTGAGCACAATTGAGGACATTGTAGCTCTGTCCCTTGAATATGGACATGCTCTTCCCCACCTCATCTTGGGCTTCTGCTGCAGCCTAAGTGAGCACAGCAAACATTTTAATTATTTTTTAAATTTTAGTTCATTTTTAAATGAATCTTGTTTCTAATTAATTTTTAAATGAATTTTAATTTTAATTAATTTTTAATGTGCAGTATCCATAGGAATTCATTCATATTTTTTTCAAACTATAGTCCGGTCCCCCAACAGACTGAGGGACAGTGAACTGGCCCCCTGTTTAAAAAGTTTGAGGATCCCTGAACTAAATGAATGAGTTCTTGCTGATCAGTTATTTGTAAAGTAAGTGGTGAGTTACGGCAGTGAGTCAGGCATGACAATTCCCATACTAAGACTGGGGATATTTCAGCTTCCTTTTCTGGGGTCCCTCAAGCCTGGGGACTAAATCTGTCCCTTTAAGAATCGCCAGCTATCCCTGCTTCTTTACCTAGATCCCATTTTCTTTTCCCAACCATGGTCCATTTGATGGTTCCCTGGCTTTTGTGCAGTTTCCTCCCACACTCTAAAAAACTGAAATGTTTGCCCTAAGTAAGACCTTCAAGCTAAAATATTGTGGCACTAAGGTAACCTGCCCCACTCCTTTTGTCCCTGGCCTAACCACCATTTTTCTTGGTCCCTTTCCATCATTAGAGTGCAACCTCCAGAGCTTTCTCCAATATGGAATTTAGCCCTTGTGGTTAAACAGATTCAAGACCCTGATGTGAATGCATAGCCTTGGCTGTTGGATTGGATAGGGATGTGAGAAGAATCCATTTTAGAGTTGGGAATCTGTTGGATTCTGTGGGCTTGGATCCACAGACTCTGGTTTTCTTGGAAGTGGCTATGAGTTGGAATTTCTTGGAAGTGTGCCCTGTGATCAAGTGGCACTGGAACTGATCCCTGTGTGGATGCTTTGTAAGCAGCATCTCTCTTCTCTGACAGAGAAGAAGGTTGTTGGTTGCACAACCTTCATTCTGCACATGTTTGTGAACTTCCTTTCAGCTCAGCGTGTGACTTTCCAAGACACAGTTGAGCATGAGAGGAAGTCCAGTGCTTCAGTTTATCTCTGGACTGGTTGAGGACAGGCCTATGCTGGAAGGACAGGCCTGTGCTGGGGTGAAATAGTCTGGGTGACTGGCTGTAAAATTGCCTTTTGTCAGCAAAGTCATCCTAGAGCTCAAGGAAGATTTATGCTAGGCAGACATTGCTTTAGTGCAAGGCATGCCTGCCTGAGTACTTGATTCTAAAAATATAAAAAAATGGCCTTCCTGGATCAGGTCAAAGACCATCAAAATCTGACTTCAGTAGAAGACAGTGAAATGCAGACATCAGCTCATCTCATTGGTGATAGTTATAGTTACTTCCTCACCTAGCAATGAGAAACTGAAAACAGTATGAAACATTAGAATGCTTTTGGAGATACATCCCCTCAAAAGTCAGTGAAATGTCAAGGTGCAATGCAAAGTTTTCTAAAAACATATAGAACAAAGTATTCAAAGTGAATATTCAGTACATTTTAGTCATTTTATACTTCTGATTAATTAAATCCCAGTTCAATTTCCATTTGGTTGTGAAGCTCCCAGTGCACTATCTGTAAGCCTAACTTACCTCACAAGCCTGCTGTGAGGATAAAATTGAGATAAGGAAAACTATATAAGCTGTCTTGGGTTCATTGTAGGAGGAAAAAAGACCTGATATACAGGCTAAAATAACTGAAATTACCAAATAGCTTTCCCACTATTTGTTTGTTTGATTTGTATACAGCCAATTTTTAATTTACAAGCATAAACAAAGCAAAGTAACAGTGAAATAACTAACATAAGAGTTAATGAAGAGCTAAAAATTATAGAATTCCGCTACAATCATGAAAAACTTTAAAATATTAAAGTACTAATAACAAGGACAAGAAGCATAAAATGCCTGCTTAAAGATGAAGGACTTAATTTAACATTTAAATGTATACATGAAGGTGCCAGGCAGCTCTCTCTGGAAAGGACATTCCACAGGTAAGAGGTCATTACAGAGAAGGCTAGGCTTGGAAATCAGTAGGACTTCAGTTAGTCATGATTAATTTAAGTCCTACTATTTTAAGTCGATCTGCCCTAAGTATTAAGTCTGGATTCAACTGCTTATCCTTTGGCATATTTGAAATTTTAGAATGATCATAGCTAAAAAGACAAATAATTAGAATATTGTTACATTACATTATATTTTGCATAAGTCTAATGAACTCAGGTGGGCTTATAAAGTTCTTCTCCTCTCCCTTTTATCTTCACAACAACAATAACCCTGTGAGAAAGGTTAGACCAGTGATGGTGAACCTTTTAGAGACTGAGTGCCCAAAACCCACTTAATTATTGTGAAGTGCCAACACTGCGATAAAACCTAAAAACTGAGGTTTTAGTTTAGAAAAAACAGCTCACAGCCAGTTCAAGCAAATATCTGTCTGTCTGTCTGTCTGTCTGTCTGTCTATCTTTGGCAGTGCACAGACTGGCCATGAAAAAGCTCAGACAAGTCACGGCTAATGAGTTGCGGCTCGTGACATCATCGCCTAGTGCTACTACTCCTTTCCAAGAATGAGCATGGCTCCTATGCGGCTATTATCTGATATTATCTCAGCTGCTGGGGTGATGCTGGGGTGACTTGGCTTGCATGCAAACAGAGAAGGCTCTGTTTGCCACCACTGGATTAGACTGAGAGTTAGTGACTGGCCCAAGGTTACACAGTGAGTTTCAGGGCTGAGTGGGGACTAGAACCCAGGTATTCTGAGTTCCAATCCCATGTTCATAACCATTACACCACACTGGCCATTTTTCATTGTTTCACTCGAGAATGAAGGATGCCGAAATGGTGCCACTTCTGGATAGCAATTATAGTATGCATTGGACTTTATTGTATGCATTAGACTTTATTATAGAAATGTGCTTTATGGCCATTATGTGTTGGTATTTAAGATTTTATCAGTTTTTCAGGAAAATCCCCCAGAAAATTCTGGATATTCCTATTTCAGAAAACTGAGAAAAGGCACAACCCGGGCATGGCTGTCTGGGGCATGTTTGGAGTTGCAGGCCATTTTTCTGTCTAAACATGCCACGATTGCACCTTAAGTGTGTTTTGCTTAACCAGTGTTGCTTTATCTCTTAACTGAATGTTGGAAATTAGCATTGGTCTGCAGCAGTGCTGTCTGGAAGCCTAAGTCAGCGTTCTCTAACCAGATTGTCATTAATGAAGATTTTGCAAACAAAAGGAAAATAAGGTAGTGGATTTAAATTGTGGAAGTTGTTTGATTCCCTGGCTCTAAACACATTAGTACACTGTATTTCCCCGCTTATATAGGCTTTTGTATGGTCAGCATGTGACTGCTCAAATGCCCCAGCAGGACATCCAGGGATTGCAAGAAGGAGAAAAGAGGAAAGAAAAAAAAATGTTTGGAACAAATTTGCATTAGTTCAAGGGCAATGTTAAGCATTTTACAGATGGTTTATTGCTATTCTTGTGCTGTTTAAGCTGTCTTTCATGTCAAAAGTCCTTTCCTGCTTACAAATCATCAGGAAGAATTCTGGCCACCATGCTGTTTGCATAAGCTCCTCCAGGGGTTCTGGCCCTTTGATCACAGATATCGTTTGCAATCAAGTTAAAAATAGGAGTCTGCTGTGATAAGCCTTGCTTCTGACAGTAGACCAGCTTTCCTTTTTCTTCTCTAACTTTGTTCTAGTCTTTTGTAGTATGGGAACACATAATCTCAATACAGAAGGAGCAGTGTTGAGGGATCAGAGTAGAGTTTAAAGGAGTTGGGGGAGATCATTGAATGAAAATGAGCTTCTTACAAAGTGTGGTCCACCTTTCCAAGGATAAAGGTGTGTGTGTGTGTGGGGGGGGGGGTTCAAAAGAAGGCAAATGCTTATCTATATCTCAGTTTTTCAAACTGATTAGCAGATTACAGGCAGAGCACAATTTTAACAGTCTCAATCCTGTTCAGAATTCCTTTCCCTTCCCTGCTTAAACTTTGTGTTTTGCTTTTAATCCCCTGAGTCTGTTTTAATGGACAAAACAAATACTTGAACTGAAAACCAGGTCTCCCATTGACTACTATGGATGTGGTGTCAATCCTGAAGTACGTTGCTGTATTCAGTGTGTCACCACAAAGGTACATAAAAGAAGCTGCAGCACAGACAACTTTATTATGGACATAGATAAAGCATTCATTGTTGATTGCCATTAGAACATACAACCACCCACTAAAAAAGAATGGAAAGCATCATGAAGTTGATATGACATCTCTTCAGCACTTGGTGTCTGATGGCTTATCTGTATATACAAGTTATCAATTGGTTCAACAATCAGATTGTACTCATGTGCTAACCGGGATTTACAGCTGATTCAGTCATCAAGATAAACTTGTGAAATTAGAAATGCGGTGAATCCTTGAACTGGGAGCAGGATTTCCCAGGTCACACAAGGGTTGTTCTCCCCAATAAAACTGCTGAGGTTTAAGGTGAAGGTGTTGCCCTGTGGATCTGAGCATACATTCTTGCAGCTGTCAAACTGGGATTCTCTGACACGAGCTTGCCCATTAAATTCTTGCAAAACATTCAAAGTTTTACAAGTATGATCTTGGAATGCTTGCAAAGGCTCAATACTTTTCATAGAAAGCAGTGCTTGTGCTTTTTGAGTGCTAGGCTTGATATATTAAGAGCTGCTGAGATATCCAGGAACACCAAGTTGCATTCACTCAGCTTGTATAGGTCATCTACCATGTTGACCAGTCTCAGCAAATATTCAGTTTCTTCCATGTCTGGAGATCCACTCCCTGTTGATAGATTAATGATTACTACAACTGATATAAAGGATGAATTAGGAATGATAATATATTCTAATGACTCAGAGTCATAAAACTATATTGTATATGACATGAGGTAGCTTATAACATTTAAACCCTTTTATGGTAGATATTAAAAGTATTGATTTTTAAAAAGTATTGAATTTTTATTACTTGCATCAGTATGATAAAACTTAATTGCTTGATGCTTATATTTGATATAGGACATGAGACTGTTTCTGCTGTAGGAACAGAGAAAAAACTTCTAATTTTAAATTGTGAATACTGCTCAAATATGTAAGAAGTGCTGGCAATATGTTAATCACTACTTTGTTTAGATCTTCAAAGTGAGACAATGGATAGTCCATCGTAAGCAGTTGGTAAAGAATACTGTACCCCTTCTGCTGCATGTGTGTCTTTCAGAGAATATTGGTCATTGGTCCAGAGTCTATAGACTCTTGAATACAGTTAACAGTTTGGGTCTTCACATATACCACGGATTTTTGAGTTGGTGGATATATTTGGTTCTCCCACAAAATGACTGCTGTGGAAAGGGTATATTGTACATCTGTAAAACGTCTGTCATGGGCATGACTGATCACAAAACACTCTTCTTCTAAGGGCCAGCCTAATGAGATTAAAAGAAAAATAGCTTGTTGAAGAACAAGGCAGAGGTAGCACACAACCCCCAAAGCACACTATTTAGAACCCCAATAATAAATAAATAATATGGCACATCAGGGCAGTACTTCATTTTGTAGTATGCCAGAACCAGTCTTTTTTAAAAAAAAATAAAAGGAAATAATCTTAAGAAAGAAAATAGAAAAGGAGTGTCAGGGAAACTGGGGAGTGCAGACAGAGGTGCCTATAGGTACATTAGTGCCAATGGGCATCAAGGTGGAGACTCCAGACCTATAAAATCCTTTCCAGTCTGTTTAGCTATGCAATAAGGCAGTATCATATTCAGAAGCTTCTGTGTGACTGCCCCAGATTTGTGTTACTCAGGAGTGTGCAAAGTCCATGCTTTGGGACTGGCTTCTCTTGTAAAAGGACTATAAGAGTATCATAAGTGGTATGGCAGCTGGGACCTAGGATTAAGATAGAGCTGTGAGAACTTGGCTAGATATTTTGTTATGAACTTATATTTATTTATTTTTAATAGTAGTAAACCTGTCCAGTTTTGCATGGTGTGAAAAATTCAGAATAATAAATGAAAATTATTTGCAATGGACCCATCGTATATTTATCTGTTTATCCATTTATCTATCTATCTACCCATTGAATGCCTTGCTCTTAGTGCGTATTCCCAGAGTGTCTCCCAGTATTGAATACACCACTTTAAACATAATATCAATAACATAATACAAGAAAATTAGAAACAGAATCTAGAATTCCGAAGGAAATAATAATTTCCTTACCCAGTTCCAAAGAAGCCAAAAATATTAGTGCTGGGAAAACTCGCAGAGCTGAGGGAGAGAAAGAGAAAGAAAACAGAACTATGGCATTTTTCCTGCTGAAAGCCCAGTCACCTTTGGGTCCACCCTTTCAGATATTCAGTTATCCACCCTTTCAATATCAAGGAAAATGTAAGCTAAATATTGTGAGAGTTTTTATTTTGACAGAATGATTCTTTTAAAAGAATGCCATTGCTTTCTTTTAATAATATGAGGTTGTTTAAACATTTTAGCAAATGCTCTGGGGAACACTTTATCTTAAGCAAGTGGATGAAAAACAGTTATTCAGTATTGTTTACTTGGAAATCAGCTGTGCTTACCTGTTCTAGTTTTTCATTGGGAGTATTTTCAAATGCTTTACAGGATTATAAAGATGATTTTTAAAAATAAAATTTTATTAGTTTTACAATATAAAATACAACGAAGAAAAAAAACTTACAACTAAAATAAAAACATAAAAGATTAAACATACAATTAAAATAAATCTTAAAACTATTGTGCACCCCATCACTGGAACCATAGGATATGTGTTACAGAAAAAAATTCATTCAAAAAGTATTTCAGGATATTCCCTCCTTCCAAAATTGCAACTATTCTTTGGATGATTCAAATCCTCTTCCAATCTTTTTAACACATATTCAAGAAATGAAATTGTGAAACAATAAGTGAATATCTTATTTTTCTTTATATACCCCTTTCTCACTTTAATATCACAAGCTAATTTATCATTAATGCCTATATTCCAAACATCTACATACCAATCACACAACTGATAATCATATTTTACTTTCCAATTTTTAGCTATGATTAATCTCACAACACTTATTAAATGTGATATTCCTTCCTTATTATTCCAACTCCATTGTTTCATATTAAATATTGAAAGTAATGTGATCTCAGGGCATATAACGTATTATTTTAATGATATGTTATATCATATCCAACAACTGCAACAACATTTGATGGCTACTGATGTTCCACTTTTCCTGCAGATCTTAGGAAAGAATGCCAAGAGATCTTCTTCAAATTACAGTGAACACAACTTGACAGCCATTATCCATGAACATGCAGTTGACGAGGACTATTATCCAACAAAAAATGGCAGCTCTAACAAGCTTATTTCCTCAGGTTTGTCAGAAGGAAGTACACAGAAGGGTGAAAAAGGTTGGGGTGAAGATGGACTTAAATAATCAAGGAAATTTGGTATGAGAAAGGACGGTTTTGCAAAGAGAAGTGAGAGGAGGGTAGCAGTATGCAGGTTTTCAAGGGCAGCAAACTGTGACAAGACTGTCACCAAGGAAGAATGTGTGGAGTCAGTGCAATCATTCACTTTGTTGTTTTGAGAAGTCAACTTTATGCCCACTCAGAGTCCTTATGGAATTATTCCACTGGGCTTCCTCACCTTCTTCACAGAATGCCAACACTTAGAAACTTAACCCAGCACCCATCTTCTGCTGAGGTACTTGCTGGGTCTGTTCAATATAGACACTCTAAAGAGTTGTGACCCCATGGCATCCAAACGGTTAATCATGTTGTCTGTCTTGGGCTGCCTACAATCAACCCACTATCAATGCCATGATTTCTGAAGCAAATAGTTTCCTAGTATCTTGGATTTTGGTTTTGGTAAATAATTTTCCACATTGTTTTCCTTTAAAATCACATGGTGTTTTCAGGCCCTTTCCCCATTCTTTAAGAATTCATGCAAGTTTCCTTGGATAAGAGCCAGTGTGGTATAGTGGTTACGAAGGTGGTACTGGGACTGAGGAGATCTGGGTTCTAGTTCCCACTCAGCCAAGAAACCATCTGGGTGACTCTGGGCCAGTCACAGACTCTCAGCCCAACCTACCTCACAGGTTCTTGTTGCAAGGATGAGATTGAGAGAGGAACAATTGTGTAAGTCACCTTGAGTTCTTTGAAAGGAAAAAAGGCAGGCTATAAATACAATAAATAAATAAGCAAAGGCAGTATCTCTTAGACAGAAGGTATTGCATTGCAGAGAAAAGCAAGACTTTGAATTGTTGTCTTACATTTAAGGAAATGGTTAATGACTCAACCTTGCATTCTTGTTAATGCAGAAGTTATTATTTTATGGGAACAGAGATCTCCTGCTCTATAATTAACACAACCTTTATTAACTTTATACTTAACTTTACACACCCACACGTGCACATGCACACACTTCCTTCAGTAACAAAGATATGCTTTCATTACCGGTAGAATCTGGCAAAGTTCTTGCTGAAAATATATTATCCTATAAAATGTTTTAGTGGGCACCTTTGGGCAGGATGTTGTGAGGCAGACTGGTTGCTTGAGCCCAAGAACAGTAGCAATCGTTGTGTAAGTTGGTGACCCTGGGATAAGAATAAGGGAATGAATGCCATTTGCTTTAATGTTGGTGTGGGTGCTCATATGTCCTTTGATCTGTGCTTAGGCGAGACAGTTCTCCAATTTAGGCTGTGTCCTGCAGGGATGACAGAGATATTTTTAGAACGCTGGGTCATTATATAACTGACCCAGACATTATCTGAGTGTAGCTTGTCCAAAGGTAGAAAAAAGACGAGGTGCCCAAAGCCAGCTTAATAGGTCCCGGAAAGCTGCTTAAATGTGCCTTATCTCAGACATGGTAATTGGCTTTCTTTCTACTGGTGGTGGTAAGTACAGTTCTGTTAAACATGGGCCTGAGGGGAACCACTCTTTTGGGCTGTAGTTTATTATTAGGTGAGGAAATTACTGGACACCTCCAGCTGTCATTAATCAGCCGTGGAGCCTGACTGGAGCCAAGCGAGAAGCCTGTGGGTGTGTGCCATTGAATGGTGGGGAAATACAATGAGACAGAGACAAATGCTTTTCAGCCTAGCAGCACTAAACTCTGCCCTTTCACAGACCTTAACATGCATGTTAAAATTGATTTAGTCTGTTTACCTCCTCAGCTAAGGCATCCATTTCCCTTTAGGATTGACAGCTTTATGTGTTGCTACCATGTTATTATGTGTTACTGTTCTTCCAGTAGCTAGTAGCTATAGAGTTTCGGGCTGGGCTGGTGGGGTTATTTACTTCCAGACATAAAGAAAGACTTGGTGCTTCTGACAGTGGTTGTAGGAGAGCAGAGTCAACTACATCCCCCCCACCACACCACCAAAGAATACAGAATGTGTCAAGTATGACACCATTTTCCTCTTTGCTTTTTAGTTCTTTCCCCATTTGCTTTACCCCAATTCTTGTTAAAAACAAACAAAACAACAATTCCAAAACAAAACAACAATTCCAAAACAAAACCAGGCCTTAAATAAACTTAGGTGATTGAGAAACACATCTGTCAGGTGATGTAAGTGTCTGGCTTATAATTCTTCCTCTTTGGTTTACAAACAAAAAATTTCCTCATAGCTGTGGAATGCCGACTTAAAGTCTGCCATAGGTGTGTGCCTCTCCAGCAAAAATGAACACAAGTAGCAAATCACAGAACTGACTTAGCTTGTAAACACCTTTTAACTGTATTTTCTCTTCTCTGCTGTAGGGACAGAAGACTATATGGAATATTACTGAAAAGTGAACACGGTTATTTCATAATGATCTATTGCCTAATAAAAACAAGAGCCAAACAGCTCTCTGTGTTCTCCCACCACCACTTAGGTGGTGTAATGTGACTGGCTTTGCTGTCTTTTACAGGTGCTCTGAGGAGCTCTACTCAGAAAAAAGCTTATATAGGATGAAGGAGATCTGATCTCTGGGGACCTCCAATTGGAAAACCCTCAATGCACTAACTTGATGTTGTGCAGTGAAGTTAGCAAGCTGAGAAATTGTGTATATCAGGATTACAAATACTATTGCTTCCAAAATCATAGCAGTCAGGCTTCCTAGTTCAAGACCTGTGGCCCTTTATGCCACTTGGTAATAGTGGGGTACATTCACAACATGGTGGCTGGACTGGTGCAGCTGACCAACTGAAACCAACACTCCCCCCCCCCCGCCAAAAAAAAAAGAGGGAGAAGGGGAAGGAAAAGGGAATGGGTGCAACAGAAGAACAAAAGAAAAGTGATTTTCAAACGTCTGAAGTATTTATTCTGCCCAATGCTTTTCTGAAACCCATTTCCTTCTTGGAGGCTTTCACTTGCCTTCCCATAAGTATGTTGCAATGAGCCCTTAAGCTCCTTCCCCTGCTGAAACTAGCAGAAGAAGCAAGTGTATTTCTGAAATGCTTTGGGCACAATAAATATTCCAGCACTTTGAGCATTACAGAAACCAACCCAGGTCTTCAGAAGAACAGAGGTGAACTGTTCCACCAGCTGCTGATACTTCTTGCTGAGTACCATTAAAATCAGATGTGAATTGTCTTTTGGCTATAAGAGATCTCCTGGAATAATAAAAAAGCATACATTAAATACATCGATACTATTTTCATGTGTTTGATTATTTTCTCAAGTGTGTTGGTTTATCCATGCTTTTATGAGTTGCCTGCGGCAGCTCTTGCTAAAAGTGTTGGTAAAACCCTTACAGGTGAGATCCTGGACAGCTGCTGGACCATGTGTTTCTATTTCTTTAGGTTTTTCTTTTGGCTGGAGATTGTTAAATAACAACTTGAGGGTATTTTCTCTTAATGAGCAATAACCATATCCTAGGCTAAATAAACTGCAGGCCACAGTTCTAGGTGTTTATTAGCTAAGGATATGGTCAGTAACGTATTTGCTAGAAGCATCCTCCAGCCCTTTTTCAGGCTTACCAAGCTGAAAAGACTTGGCTTAAATGAAGTGAGTTAAGTATGAAGAGGAAACTGTGCTTGTTTGTTTTTACTTTTATTTTAGTAAGCATACCTGCATGGCAGGCAAGGCCTGAGGCATTTCATGTAACAACAGTCACAATCTGACTTTACTACTTGCTTTTGCTCTGGTTAGGAGATCTAATTAATTCAACAAACCAACTAAGAGAACAACTCTATTTTTAATTCAGCGGTTTTGGCCCATATAAATCAATGGCTCTGCACCTGCAAACTGCAGAGCTCGGGATCTTCCATGAAGAATGTAGGAAGCTGCCCTTATACTGAGCCAGATTGTTGGTTCATCTGGCTTGGTCTTATCTACAGTGACTGGCAGTAGCCTTCCAGGCTTTCTGAGAAGAGTCTTTCCCTACCTGAAGCTGTTGCTGTTAGAGAAATATTGTATTTTAGAAGTGAAGGTCATAAAAGGAGCCTCTGAAGCCTGGGACACAGCCAGCCTGCCCACCCCAACTCTTTTTGTTGTTCAGTTGCAAAGTCATGCCCAGCTCTTTGCGATCCCATGGACAACATTCCTGCAGGTTCTCCTGTCCTCCACCATCCCCTGGAGTATGCCCAACCCCACACCCATCTTTCTAGTGACCCATTCCAGCCACCTCCATCTCTCCATCCCCTTCTCAATCATTCATTCCCAGCACCAGGGTTTTTCCCAGGGAGTCTTTCCTTCTCATTAGGTGGCCAAAGTGTTTGAGGTTCAGCTTTAGTACCTGACCTTCTAAAGAGCAGTCAGGGTTGATTTCCTTTAGGATTGACTGATTTGATCTCTTTGCACCCCTGACTCTACCATATTGTTTTTAAAATAAAAGGCCTGGCATTCTTATACCAGCCCAGATGCTAATACCACCTCTTTGCCATTGTCTCCCTGTTTTCCTGGTGGAGCCCTGGACTTCAGCTTCAAAGCCGGGCCCTGGCTGAACCACTGCATGCACCACTGAGCAGGGAACTTTCCCCCAGGTTGCCTTTTATGCCATGCTTTCTATTGTCAGGTTGGCTCAGGCTGCATGGGAGGGCAAATATTTTTCTTGCGCAGACAGATACTGGACCTTTAGGATTGTTTTATGGACACAACCACCAAAGCAGGAGATGTTGAAAAGGCACTCTGGAGAAGTGGATAGGCACTTAGAAGGTATACTTATATTGTGAATCAAAAATAATAATACATTCCTATATGCTTTGTGCATTTCTAATGCTCCTAGCTGCCCTTAAGTTACATTCAGTTTCTTCAAGACACTTCTTTTGTCTTCTATAGCAACTCTAATTCTGATAATCTTCTGTGCAATTTTTCATTGCTTGTTTGCGTTGCCTTTTTGATTCAGAATCTAAGGCAGGGAAAATATTAGCATATAGATTAAAAATTAACCAAACAAATTAAGCAAGCTAAGGACCTAGTAAGCATTAGTGGAAAAATATATGATTCCTTAAATACAAGCATCACTGAAATAACTAATGAATTTATTAACTATTATGTAGTATTCTATACATCTCAAATACCAGACAGAATCAAAATAAATGACTTCCTTTAGTCTCTAAATAAATCAGCATCAATGTAGGCTAGTAAGGAATATTTGGATAAAGACATCACTAGATGAAGTTAAAAAAGCAATCAGAACATTAAAAATAATGAGCTGCTGGATCAGATGGAATTTTAGCAGAATAGGCTAAAAACCTTATGGATATAGTTGCTCCGCTGTTGCCACAGGTAATAAATTCACCAGTCATGGATAGAAGGAAAATAATTTGAATTAAAAAGATCTCCCAACACTTCTGAACTATGACTGTAACAACTGTATTGGCTTCTGGACTTAAAGTAATAAGCAACTATATAAACACTGATCAAACAGGATTTATACCTTCTAATACTTAATTCATATTAATAGTAAAGAACATACATAGAAGGCAACATCTAGTGGTTTGATTCTATAAACTCAGTGTCAATGGAGCTCTGCAAATCTTTCAATTGTGCAAGGATTTGTGCATTGTGCTTATAGAGTTCCTGGCCCATTCTCCTGAAAGTGGCTGTGTTGAAGTTTTTCTCTTTTGCATAGTTTGGATTCTAGTTTCTACCAGTGCAATATTATTTGCATTTTTTGAATGACACTGTTGGATTCTGCCCTATATCTTCAGTAACTTCACTGATGCCCAAAGTTTTTAATTTTACAGTAATTTATACAAAAGTTCAAACATCTAAAATGTTCAGATTTTTAAAATACAAAAAACCATAATGGACAGGATAAAAATATCCTAATAAATAAATAAAATACTCAGCATGTTTGTACTTCCTTGCAAAGGTAGGAAATAACTATGGCACATAATTGTTATCCAAAATATAATAAGAGCAGTGCAAAACATCCCAACATTTGCAATAAGAGTAATGGTGGCAGTGTATTATAGAGAGTACACAAAATCCCCAGACATGAAAATGTCAGAGTCAGTTTCTTTAACCAAGGTATTAATCCTGAAAATTTAATGGACATATTTTGGTCTTAGCAAAGCATTTTCATAGGTTATTAGTTCCAGTGAGTTCAAACATATATCAAATGAATGTGCCTGATGCAAATATATATGGCATTGGCTAACTGCTATGCTGACAGTCAGCTCAAGCTAGATATATGATGTTGTGCCGCTGATGCTGGTAGAAAAACAAAAATACTGAAAGGTAACTATGCTGTGCCTACAATTAGCAGTGTAAACATCTTAATAGGCATAGAGGACACAAACAGATGTTCTCATTACATGTCTGTGAGAAACTGATCTGTACTATTTCCACTTTAGCTTGACCTCTGGAAATTTCGGTCCCATTGAGGATTTCAGTGATTTATTAATTTGGGCATAATGAAAACCAGAAAAAGAAGCACAGGATTTATGCCATGCTGAGCTGAAACAGTGTTTGTGTGTATACCTTATGAACATTTTATGCCTGTGAAAGCTGGACAGTGAAGACAGCTGACAGGAAGAAAGCAGAAGCATTTGAAATATGGTACTGAAGGAAAGCTTTGCATAGACCCTGGTTTGACAAGAAGATGAACAAGTGGGTCCTAGATAAAATCAAGCTGGAGCTTTCCATGGAAACAAAAATGACAAAACTGAAGTGGTTCTATTTTGGAAATGTCATGTGAAGGCAAGACTCCTTGGAGAAGACATTCATGCTAGGAAAAGTTGAAGGAAGAAGAAGAGGAAGATCAACTACGAGATCAATTGCTTCCATGAAGGAAAGCACAGCCTTGGGTTTACAAGCACTGAGCTGGACTATCAAGGCATGGACATTTTGGAGAGGGCTCCTTCATAGGCTCACTATAAATTGGAGATGATTTGATAGCATGTAAAAATAGCAAAACTCCACCAACCATGTTCCCACCTAGATGCTGTGCCAGGCACTTATAGATTCAAGGCCCAGAAGCATGGAACACAAATCTGCATAAAATATTCTAATTTATTGTATACCTATATCTGAAAATCTAGAAATTATTACTGGTATTTATTTACATTTCACAGATTCAACCTATTAATTTCTCAGCCAAATCATCTCAAATAAAATACATTCTTCAGTTATTTTTCAGCCTAGGTAGAAGGGCATATGGGAAGGGGTAAAGTCCACCTTCCACTTCCTTG